CTACTTCCTGGACAGCATCCATGTTGAAGGCAGCTTCAACATGGATGCTGTCCAGGAGGTGGGAGGGTCTGGGGGGGAGGGTCTGCCGGAGATTGGCAGGGATGTGTCAGCTGACTGGAGTTCGCCGCGAACGGTTCGCCGCGGTTCGCCACGAACCGTTCGCGGCATCACTATTTGACACTGACAGACACACTTACTGACAAACACTCAGTAGAAAACCAATAATAATGGAGCTGCAACATCAAAGGTATATGTCAAAGAGGTTTATTCCACCTGTGTGGAACAGGTCATTTTTAACCCAACTTCAGGGTCTTTGTTAAGACCTCTTTGATATTCAGCTTTGGTGATGTGGCTCCTTTATTGGTTTTCTATTGTAAGTGAGGAAGCTGGAATGAGAAATTGGGGTGATGGCTCTCCCAGTTGTGTGTACACACACTGGCATTAACTGGCAGATACACACACACTCAGTGAAAAACATTTACACACCGTCAGAGGGAGAGACAGACAGACACACACACTCTCTCTCTCTCTCTCTAAAATGTTCACAAATTCTAATTTTTTTCTTTAAAGGGACACTATAGACACCAAACCAACTTTAGTTTAATGAAGCAGGTTTGGTGTATAGATCATACCCCTGCAGTCTCACTGCTCAATTCACTGTCATTTAGGAGTTAAATCACTTTGTTTCTGTTTATGCAGCCCTAGCCACACCTCCCCTGGCTATGATTGACAGAGCCTGCATGAAAAAAAAAACTGGTTTCACTTTCAAACAGATGTAATTTACCTTAAATAATTGTATCTCAATCTCTAAATTGAACTTTAATCACATACAGGAGGCTCTTGCAGGGTCTAGCAAGCTATTAACATAGCAGGGGATAAGAAAATATTAATTAAACAGAACTTGCAATAAAGAAAGCCTAAATAGGGCTCTCTTTACAGGAAGTGTTTATGGAAGGCTGTGCAAGTCACATGCAGGGAGGTGTGACTAGGGTTCATAAACAAAGGGATTTAACTCCTAAATGGCAGAGGATTGAGCAGTGAGGCTGCATGGGGCATGTTCTATACACCAAAACTGCTTCATTAAGCTACAGTTGTTCAGGTGACTATAGTGTCCCTTTAATGTAGAAAAATGCAGTTTGCACTTTGTGCACTTTGGCGAAAAGAATGCACAAGCAACTTATACCGTTAATGAAAGCGAATTGGGGATAACAACACAGGAGAAAGACTTGGGAATTCTTATAGACCACAAACTATGCAACAATGTGCAATGTCAATCAGCAGGGCTAAGACCAGTAAGGTATTGTCATGCATGAAAATGGGCATTAATTCTCGGGATGAGAATTTAATTTTGCCTCTTTATAAATCGCTGGTAAGACCCAGTTAGGAGTTAAATCATTGTTGTTTCTGTTCACGCAGCCCTAGTCACAACACCCTGCGTGTGACTTGCACAGCCTTCCTAAACACTTCATTTCAGTAATTTAAAGCTTATACTTCCTTCATTGAAAATTCTGTGTAATTTAGAATTTATCTCCTGCGTCGTCAATAGCTGGTTAGACCCGCAGGAGCCCAGTGTCTATAAATAAAGCTTTACCTGACCTCAGCTTAGTTCACTCAGAAGGAGGAATGAAACATGTGAAGGACTCTAACATAGGTGAACAAACCATTTAGCTTTTCTTTGTGCTGCAGGCATTTAAAACCAGATATGAGGACTTCAGTAGGATTTAGTCTATGAGCAGCCCTGCCTGACAGCTCTCTCATGCAGTCTATCATCTTGCAAAAAAAGCTTGCCAGGATGACATGCCCTCTGTTTAGGGACAGGCAGGATGTGTATGACATTAATTGACTACACCTCCGCCTCCTCCCTCTCCTGTTATTAGATGGAGATTTATATTATGTTTGGGAAATGAATGATTTATTATTAACTAAATGATTTCCTATCCCAAGCAATGTAATACTCCGTACGACAGGATTGCGCTTTTTAGCCTCAGTGATGTCTGTACAGGAAAACATGGCGAATTTGGCATGTGACCCAAGTTTTAATAACTCATCCTGTAAAGAAGCTTTAAAGAAACACGCCATGTGAAAATTAACATTCCTTTAAAACATGTATGATGTATGAACATTTAAAATAAAATGCATTT